TTTGCTGTGAATTCTGGGAGTCGTGTAAAAAGGAGACACTGCTATCAACGCTGGAAGTGTGTCAAAACGAAACACTGCTATCAATAGTGGGAGTCGTGTAAAAACGAGACACTGCTATCAACGCTGGCAATGAATGATGATGATGAGTGCGATGATGAGTGCGACGATGAGATGACGACTGTCCTTTTTTCAGAGGACCGCGCTGAGGAGCGGCGTGCGAAGCGGAGAAGCTGCAAAGCGTGCAGGCTGAAAAGCATTGCAGACACGCGCAGGCTGAAAAGCATTGCACGACACGTGCAGGCTCACCGCGCACAGCTGCACACGAGCGCAGGCTGAGAAGCACCGCGCGCATGCAGGCTGAGAAGCACCACACGAATGCAGACGGACAGACTGAACAGCACCGCCACAACGCAAGCTGCATCTCATGGCTCCTCAAGCTCGCGCAGGCCATCCCAGTTGCTGTCGGGCCTTCGCGCAAGCGATCTTCGTCGCGGCAATCTTGTCCGTGAAAAGCTCGGCGAAGGCCTTGGCGATCTGTTCCGGGGGGCCGGATTCGATGATGCTCCGGTCAGGCAAGCCGTGGCTCAAGAGTTGGTTGAAGCTTCTGGGGCGCGACAGGCTGACGTAGTAGGCAAGCCAAATGGACTCCTTCTTGAGTCCTGGCGGAAACGTCCAGTGCACGATGAAGCCTGGGTCCGTCGTCTTGCCCTGGACGCCATGCAGAGTCCCCTGCTTTTTGGGCAGCACGGTCAACTGCGTCCTGGACACCGCGATGGCCGGGCCACCTGTCTTCGCTTTGAACTTCCAGGGGCGCGCCTGCGGGGTGATCGCGAGCACTCCGCGCAGGTCGGGGCCGGCAGGCTGAGAAGCACTGCCAGCTGTCACCGGCGCGGCCTTCAAGAAAAGTTCATCGCTGTCATCGATCTTGACATAGACGGCCTTTGGCATGTAGTAGAGTACGACCACGCCGTCCGAGACAATGGACGGGCGGCCCTCCACCGGAGGCTCCAGAGCGTGCAGCTCTATGCCTACCACTTTGCCTGGCGCGCCACGGACATACTTCGGCGGCAAGACGGATTCTGTCAGGATGACCTCCATGCCAACGAAGAGCGGCAGCAGCCCCGGCATTTTTGCGGTAGCGCCGATGTTGGGCTCCGCGCGCATCTCGTCGAAATCAGGCTTCGCGAGGCGCGCAGCTGGTCTGTCGATTGCTGGGACGTAAAAGAGCAGCTGGCCAGCATCGTGCGCATCAAGCTTGGCCTGTGCATGCATGGCGTAAGAGACGATGCGCCACTCATAGGCCGACTCGTACCAGCCTCGTGCTGCACGCAACCGAGGGTCCCATTGAGGTGGCTGAGCGGCTTCGCTGCTGCTGGCAGCAGGCTGACCAGCACCGCTAGGGCTAACGACCTTTGTTTTGACAATCGCCTAGAATTGGCTCCGGGCATTCAAAATGTGGCCCGGGAATTGAATTCTGGGAACTCGAAGAGCACGAAGTGGCCTACGGTTGGCTCCGGGCATTCAAAATGTGGCCCGGGAATGGAGTTCTGGGGACTCGAAGACCACGAAGTAGCCTACAGTTGGCTCCGGGCATTCAAAATGTGGCCCGGGAATGGAGTTCTGGGAAGTCGAAGAGCACGAAGTGGCCTACAGTTGGCTCTGGGCATTCAGAATGTGGCCCGGGATTGGAGTTCTGGGAGGTCGAAGAGCACGAAGTGTGTGACTGTTTGCTTAAAACGACTTCTGCGGCACCCTGTCCGGCACCCGCCCAGAGCCCCCTGTGGAGTCATCTGCTGCTCTCTTTTTAGCCCATTATCCCGGCAAAGCAACCTAACAGCGATGTGTAGAAGCATATATGGAAACATTCCCCTTAAGATCCAGATGAGAATCCAGTTGTAGAATTCTCCTGTTCTCGCAGTCGCAGTCGCATTCGCGATGACAGTCGCAGTGGCAACGGCAGTCACAGTCACAGCCTCAGCCTCAGCCTGCCTCAGTATCAGCCTGCCTCAGCCTCAGCCTCAGCCTGCCTCAGCCTCAGCCTCAGCCTCAGCCTTTCAGCCTCAGCCTCAGTCTGCCTTCAGCCTCGGCCTCAGCCTCAGCCTGCCTCAGCCTCAGCCTGCATCAGCCTCAGCCTCAGCCTCAGCCTGCCTCAGCATCAGCCTGCCTCAGCCTCAGCCTCAGCCTGCCTCAGCCTCAGCCTCAGCCTGCTTCAGCCTCAGCCTCAGTCTGCCTTCAGCCTCGGCCTCAGCCTCAGCTGCCCCAGCCTCACCCTGCCTCATCCTCAGCATCAGCCTCCGCCTGCCTCGGCATCAGCCTGCCTCAGCCTCAGCCTCTGCCTCAGCCTCAGCCTCAGCCTGCTTCAGCCTTCAGCCTCAGTCTGCCTTCAGCCTCGGCCTCAGCCTCAGCCTGCCTCAGCCTCAGCCTCAGCCTCAGCCTCAGCCTGCCTCAGCATCAGCCTGCCTCAGCCTCAGCCTCTGCCTGCCTCAGCCTCAGCCTCAGCCTGCTTCAGCCTCAGCCTCAGTCTGCCTTCAGCCTCGGCCTCAGCCTCAGCCTGCCTCAGCCTCAGCCTGCATCAGCCTCAGCCTCAGCCTCAGCCTGCCTCAGCATCAGCCTGCCTCAGACTCAGCCTCAGCCTGCCTCAGCCTCAGACTCAGCCTGCTTCAGCCTCAGCCTCAGTCTGCCTTCAGCCTCGGCCTCAGCCTCAGCCTGCCTCAGCCTCAGCCTGCCTCAGCCTCAGCCTGCCTCAGCCTCAGCCTCAGTCTGCCTCAGTATCAGCTTGCCTAAGCCTCAGCCTCAGCCTGCCTCAGCCTCAGCCTCAGCCTGCTTCAGCTTCAGCCTCAACCTTAGCCTCAGCCTCAACCTTTTCCTCAGCCTCAGCCTCTGCCTGCATCAGCCTCAGCCTCAGCCTCAGCCTGCCTCAGCATCAGCCTGCCTCAGCGTCTGCCTCAGCCTGCCTCAGCCTCAGCCTCAACCTCAGCCTCAGCCTCAGCCTGCCTCAGCCTCAGCCTGCCTCAGCCTCAGCCTCAGCCTGCCTCAGCAGCAGCCTGCCTCAGCCTCAGTTGGCTACGGGCATTCAAAATGTAGCCCGGGAATGGAGTTCTGGGAACTCGAAGAGCACGAAGTGGCCTAGAGTTGGCTCCGGGCATTCTAAATGTGGCCCGGGAATGGAGTTCTGAGAACTCGAAGAGCACGAAGTGGCCTACAGTTGGCTCCGGGCATTCAAAATGTAGCCCGTGAATGGAGTTCTGGGAACTCGAAGAGCACGAAGTGGCCTACAGTTGGCTCCGGGCATTCAGAATGTGGCCCGGGAATGGAGTTCTGGGAAGTCGAAGAGCACGAAGTGGCCTACAGTTGGCTCCGGGCATTCAAAATGTGGCCCGGGAATGGAGTTCTGGGACGTCGATGAGCACGAAGTGGCCTACAGTTGGCTCAGGGCATTCAGAATGTGGCCCGGGAATGGAGTTCTGGGAGGTCGAAGAGCACGAAGTGTGTGACTGTTGGCTTAAAACGACTTCTGCGGCACCCTGTCCGGCACCCGCCCAGACCCCCCTGTGGAGTCATCTGCTGCTTTCTTTTTAGCCCATTAGAAACCTATCAGTCTTCGCTGTTAGGTAAAAACTCGGAGGTCCGCGCGGATTTCTCGGATCGGCGCTGGGGCCCCCGCGGCGGCGCCTCCGGCGCCGCCACTGGCGCGCCCCGCGCGCCAGGGAGGGGGGTCCAGCGCCGGTCCGAGACATCTGCGCGGACCTCCGAGTTTCTATGTTCATGCCACTTTTTGTTTCCCTAGCCCTGGTCCCTGCCTTCCGGCTCGGGTCGTGGGCAGCAGGCCCGGCTCTCCGCTGCCACCCGCTTCCGCACGGGTCGCCCCCTCCGCTGCCTGCCGCCCCGGCCTGGCGTTCTCGCCCGCCGCCGCCCGAGCGCGGCGGGTGGACGACGCTGGCCTCGACGTCGCCCCTCCGCTGGCAGCCGGTGCCTCGCCTTCTCTCTCGCCTTGTTGCCGCTGCGAGCTGCCTCTCAAGGCGGCACCCGCGGCTTCCTGCCGCCGCCTGGCCGTTGGCGCACGCCGTGGCCCCCGAGCGTTTGCACCTGGTAGCGTGTGCCTCGCTGCCCATCGGCGCCGGCCTGTCGCCATCGCCCGCTTTTTGTTTGCAACCCTCGGAGCACATTTTTTTACCACATCCGTCGGTCGGTCCGTCTGCCCTTTCCAATCGGAGGGTGCCGTGCGCCCTGGAAGGGATACGGACTCCTGGGGACTTGAGTATGCACTCCAGCCTCCAGCGAGGGAGGCGGTGCTCTCCTCTCTTGATGGCGGGGTGAGGATGAGAAACGAGAGGGCAACAGCGAGGCCATCGCGAGTTGGCGCACCGGCGCGCCCAGTTGTAACTCGGTCCCAGTCCTGTAGCTGATGACGTTGGGCTCCAACTTGCTAAAAGGGGGGTGATGACTAGGGGGGTGTGGATATCATGGCGGGGGCCATGAGATCTCCCCAGATTTTTCGGCGCCTCTTCTTATTTCATTACGTCCCTGGCTCTCCCCCTGGGCCGCGCACATGCCGCCAGCCATGATTTGCGACCCCCGCCCCCCTCTTGGTTGGCCGCCCCCGAGTATGTCTCCAGGCAGCAGTGCCATTCCCAGGTGTCCCGTCCCGGACTCGGCCCCCCTCCTGAGAGCAGTGCTTGGTAGGAGGGGGGAGGGGCAGGAGAAGGAGGAGGGGGAGGAGGAGGAGGAGGAGGAGGAGGAGGAGGAGGAGGAGGAGAAGTAGGAGGAGGGAGGGGGGGGAGGAGGAGGAGGAGGAGGAGGAGGAGGAGGAGGAGGAGGAGGAGGAGGAGGAGGAGGAGGAGGAGGAGGGGGAGGGGGAGGAGGAGGAGGAGGAGGAGAAGGAGGAGTGAGGAGGAGGAGAGGAGGAGGAGGAGGAGGTGGGAGGGGAGGAGGAGGAACGAGGTGGAGGAGGAGGAGACGAGCCACGGAGTAGAGGAGGGAAGCGGGACCGAGAGCCCCGAGGACCCGACGCTGTCCCTGGACCTGCGCCGCAGACTGGCGCTCAGCCTCTACGGCCCCGTGCTGAGGAAGGTGCCGATCTTCAGGTCGGCACGGGGAGTCCGTGGCGACACGGCGTCCTCGTCTTACTATTCTCCTCCTCCTCCTCCCCTCCTCCTCCTTCCTCCTCCCTCCTCTTCCTCCTCCTCGACCGAATTTCATTGTCATCCTCGTCATTTTCCCTTCCTCGTGCTCATCGTTATGATTCCCCTCCTCCTCCTCGTCCTCCTCCATCTCCTCCTCCCTCCTCCTCCCAGTCCTCCTCATCCTCCTTCCCTCCTCCTCCTCCTCCTTCCTCCTTCCTCCTCCTCCTCCTACCTCCTCCTCTCCTCCTCTCTCCTCCTCCCCCCCTCCTCCTCCTCCTCCTCCTCCTCCTCCGCCTCCTCCTCCTCCTCCTCCTCCCCGCCTCCTCCTCTCGCCTCTCGCCTCCTGCTCCACTGCTCCTCCTCCACTTCCCCGCCTCCTCGGTCAGTCGGTCGGTCGGTCGAGTCTGGCGGCATGATATTGCAGCCACCAGTCCCAGTAACAGTACGAGCGAGGGGGAGATGCGAGCACACAATGAGAAGGGCCCAGACACCACCTTACCGCCACCTGTAGTCATTTTCTGACCTCCCTCCCCAGATAGGGGTCAACAGGAACGTTCAAGATTATCGGTTCGGGTCCCAAGCTCACTCTCCATGTCATGCAAAGATGGACCTCTTACACATGCTCCACGTGACAAGACACCAGCAATCAATTGGCAAAAGGGTCTAAGGCAGACCGTGGCCTCTCCCGCTCTCCAGTGACCTCCTCTCCTCTCGTCTCCTCTCCTCTCCTCTCCTCTCCTCTCCTCTCCTCTCCTCTCCTCTCCTCTCCTCTCCTCTCATCCTCCTCCTCCTCTTCCTCCTCCTTCTCCTCCTCCTCCTCCTTGCCGTCGTCATCCTACTCTCCCTTCTTCCGCCTTCACTTCCCCTCCTCGTTTCCCTTCCTCCTTTCCTCCTTCGCCATGCCCCCTCCTCCAGCTCCCCCAGCCCTGCCGGCCCAGGTATTTTGAGCTTGCCGATACGCGTCCCTCAGCCTGGCACGTTGTCGACGGGCCTCTTGCCTCGTGCGGGTTCTTGCAGATTCCGCCTCCTCGGTTCCCGCAGCCATGGCAGCGGACGCGGGCGGGGCTGGAATAATGTTTGGCAGATGGAAGCTTCCGTGGCAGGATCGACCTCCGTCGGTGCGCGGCTCTTGGCTCCGCGACCCGCGGCCCGCCCTTGCCAGCCAGAGGGGTGCAGCCCCTGCTCGACGGGGCACCCGGCAGCCGCCCAAGATAAGGGCCTCCTCCTCCTCCTCCTCCTCATCCTCATCCTCTTCCTCCTCCTCCTCCTCCTCCTCCTCCTCCTCCTCCTCCTCCTCCCTCCTTCTACCCCTTGCAGGGCGAGCGACGACAAATGGTTTGCGTACAGGCAGTGTAAGGATTGGCGGGCGGATGTCGAGATGATCACGTCCGGTTTAGCTGGTGATGCCCCCTCTGGGCCTAGTTGTGCTGTGCGTCAGCCGTCTCTCCGTGGAGGTCCTGGCACTGGTACCCTCGCGCTCAAGGATGTCACATCTACAGGTCCAAGGGCAAGAGCTAGGGTTACTTCGAGGGGTATTTCAAGCTTCTTGCAGATGAGCTACGACAGTTGCTCGATTTGGCCAGGGCGGCCAATGACCAGCCCTTGCTTGCAAAGTATCAGATCATGCCCAAGGATTTCGAGGCTCGCCCAGCGCAGGCTCCAGTACAGCAACGTGCGTCGACAGCGCACTCCCGTGTCTGGACATGGGAGAAGCTCTTGGAAGCGGATGTCATCAGCTTGGCAGCCCGTGCGCGTTGATGTTCAGAGTCACCGCGTCGCTGGTACGCAAAATAAGCTTCAAGCAGCTGCTGAGGCGTACAAGCAGATGGTGGTGGAGCTGGCCAGCGACGCGGCAGGGATCAGGCCCGAGTCATCAGACCCGCCCTGGGCACTGAAGGTGGATGTCAAGGGCCCTGTGGATGGAGCACCCGGCCAGGAGGTGTTCGACGTGGAGAGTTTCTTTGCTGTGGGTGAAGAGTGCGAACTATCCAGCGCACACAAGCAGGAGTTTTCGAGACGTGCTGAAGCGCTCCGTGGGCAACTGCAGGAGGTGGCCAATAACCTGTTCTCAGGCGCTTCAGCCACGGTGGAACAGCTCAATCTGAATCCGCGAGCACATCAGGCGCCTCTCGGCCAAGAAAAGGAAGGTGGATGAGGACGATGGCTCGGCTGCAGCAGGCGTCCCAGCGGATGCGGCTGCGCCCGAGTCGGCAACCGCTCCAGCTACGCGGCGGCAGCATCTACTTTGTCGTCTTCTGACGCGCGCTCCCGTGCTTCCAGCCTCCCACAAGCTGCAGCTGCAGCACCTCCCGCCGGAGGCAGAGGCGGGATGAGGCGGGGAGGACCCAAGCCGGGCGCTCGCGCGCACGCCCCCCTCCTGCAGCGCGAGACGTCGCGGGGGCAGGGAGCGAAGGGGGGGGGGGCAGCAGTTACGCTGAGTTTCGCCAAGACAGCCTCAAGCAGGCCAGATCAGCGGATCAACAACGGCCATCCTGGACCCTCATGATTTCGGCGCGTGGCTTGCCCACGTCGCACGGCAAAGGCGTAACGTTAGGATCTCCTCGAAGTTTAACCCGCGCCTCCAGCAAGTTAACCACCTGTGGATCTCGGGTGAGGGGCTCGGTGATACGCGGGGTAATTTTGCCTGGTCCGAGGTTCTTCGGAGTTGGGCTAATATTGGAGCCGCGGTGTCACAATTCGGTCGGTGGCATTGTTTCCCCGGCCTAAGTGGGGCCTGAGGGCTGCGATTCTGTGCGACACCAGGCGTGCGGGCGCGAGCTGATCCAGGCCCCCCCCTTCCTCGGGACGCGTTTGGGCTGATATTCGAGATGTGCAACTGTTCAGGATGTGGCCCGCTGCAGGAGTGGCTGGAACGTACCGCAGATCATGCCACGCGCGCTGAGGAGGAGGAGGAGGAGGAGGAGGAAAAGAAGGAAATGGAGGAGGAGGAGCAGGAGCAGGAGCAGGAGCAGGAGCAGGAGGAGGAGGAGGAGGAGGAGGAGGAGGAGGAGGAGGAGGAGGAGGAGGAGGAGGAGTAAGAGGAGGAGGAGGAGTAAGAGGAGGGAGGAGGAGGAGGAGGAGGAGGAGGAGGAGGAGGAGGAGGAGGAGGAAAGGCGGAGGAGGATTGAGCTGGAGGAGAAGGAGGAGGAGGAGGAGGAGGAGGAAGACGAGGAGGAGTAGGAAGAGGAGGAGGAGGAGGAGGAGGAGGAAGAGGAGGAGGAGGACGAGAGTTAACCTGGGATGCGCCAGCGACGTGGCAACACACCCTCCCGCTTCAGGCCCCCTCCTCGCGCGTCCTCACAGGCGCTCCAGCTTCCTGCAGGGAGCGTCCCCCTGGAGTGACGAGCGCCCCATGATCATGGGTCTGTCATGCCGGGGGGGGGGGGGGGCCACGCGCTGAAACGGCTCCGCCGCCCTTCTTGCCAGCCAGAAGGAACGCAAATTCACGAGGAGGAGGAGGAGGAGGAGAAGGAGGAGGGGAGGACGAGGAGGAGGAGGAATAGGAAGTGGGAGGAGGAGGAGGAGGGGGAGGAAGAGGAGGGGAGGAGGAGGAGGAGGAGGAGGGGGAGGAGGAGGAGAGAACGAGGAAGAGGTGGAGGAGGAGGAGGAGGAGGAGGAGGAGGAGGATTCGATTCGATTCGCACACCTTCGGCGCCAACCTTGTTTCAGTCATAGTGAGTGATTACATACTCGAGCTATTGTTCAAAATCGCGCAATCGCCAATCGTGATATTTCGCACAACTGCGAATGGCTACTGGCACGGTGAACCTCTAGCTTTAAGAGGAGAGTGCATATGCCATGCTCTATGCACCTAGGGCCGTGGCTGAGGTCCCGAGAGAGACCAGCCTGGCCCCATGCAGCCACCGACGCATGAGGTAGCCACGAGGGACCAGGGCAACTAAGAGGTAGCTCGTGATTTAGCTATGCTCAGTATATGCCTACTATTGAAAAGTGTCTCGAATTTGGCGGTCCCTGGGAAAACCCCGCACGAGGCTAGATACTCCGTGATTATATGGGCATCCGAGGGTCGGGCGGGAGGAGGAGGAAGAGGAGGAGGCTGGGAAACATATAAAACGGGGGCCTCAGACGATTTCAGTTCTGGTCGAGGAGGTGGAGGAACATCGGCAGCAGTAGCAGACGACTCCTTCTTATCCCCCCCTCGCAAGAAACTCAAGCGCTGTGCCTGGGTCCAGGGTGGAGTATCATCTGGTAGATGAAGAGCCTGTAGATCATCATCCAGAGTTTCGCATTCAGGACTCGTAGTTGTAACATCCAATGCTGTGGTCGATCGATCATCATATGTAGATGTGTCCACCTTTATTTCAGCAACGTCTCGAGGAATTGTTGAATCTCTCTCTCCATGTACGCTGCTGGGGCACGGCCGTATTTGCGCTTCACACCCTGGATCTGCAGCATCGAACTGATCAGGATGTTGCGAAACGCTGGGTCTCGGCATGAAACCGTGAGGCGACGCTGTTCCTTTTTGTAGACCTTGTCCTGGCGGCAGAATAGCACGAGCTCGCACTTCGTGTCGACTGAGTACTCGGCGTACTCCTTGAAGCATTTGTTGACTTGCTGGGCGTTCTGTGCTCCAATCGCGTCGCCCAGGGACACCAGTCCCTTGAGCAATCCTCCCATGGCCCAAATGAAGGGCGGGCCGAGCTCGTGATCCTTGCCTGCTTTCTTGACGGCCGCGGCGTATAGGACGGTCTGCTCGCTCATCATGGTGATCAGCATGCATGTGGCTGGGAATATGAACGTGTCCAGAACCACTCCTGCGAGATCTCGTCCCTGTTGGCTGACTTTGAGTAGCTGTTTCATAAGAAGGCAGAAGAGCTTGCGAGTGGGGTCGTCGATCTTCTTCTTGAGCGCGGTGGATACCTCGGCCGCGTTGCCCGTGCCGTCGGTCTTCTGCTTCTTGCTCTTGTCGTTGCCTTTGCCTTTGTCCTCCTCCTGTGTCA